TATCAGGGTGAAATTTGCATGTTATTTTATTATTAATGGACGAATGTATATAAACTTTTATGGTTTCTATTATTTTCAAACAGGAGTCTTTATTCCCATTCCTCTTTCTACGACACATGTGTAATAATCATGCTTTGCTACTGCGCTATTCAAACAAATACGTGGAACGAAGCCCTCTTTTATGACATCGTTATGCACGGACTAGAGTTTTGGTTTCGGTTTATGAGCGACAGTAATGCCATTTTCTCATTTTGAGGCCTTGTTTTACCTTTAATGTCCAAGCTCACGTGTACGTTTTGCCTGTAGAGTAACTTGAATAAAGAATCGCTTTCGTGCATTGAGAGAGAAGTTTGATAATTTCCTAAAACTTTACTAATGGCTTTTCGCCCAACGAGAAAGGTTTTATGTTCTAACCTGATGTTATTTTTGTGTACGTCCTTTTTTTTACGATAGCTAACAGTCCAATAAAAAATCACATAAAAATAGTATTTAGTAATTATCCATATTAAATTTCTAGGTACGAAAAAGTTATTATAGCCTAAGGCTGACAGAACTATAATATTGTATTTTCTCTTCAAAAAATATTCTAATACTATCTAGGGACGATTTCAGAATAGCAAATTAATAATAATAAGTAATACATACTAACAGAAACATAGGTAGCTACTAGCATTAATGAATTGCTTTCTTAGAGTTTCCATTCCAATTATAATATATCACTATAATTTCAGTGAAGGAATAGTTATACTATTTTCTAGCATTGACTTAATAAATGCCATATTGAAAGTTGTATTCATAATCTCATATACAATGGTTAATTTGTACCGTCTAACGTATGTATACGTATAGTAATTAAGTACATAGGTACTTGACAAATAAGCATACAACGTGTCACTGAAACAGCAGTTAAGCGCCTGCTCTATGTGCCATCTAGGCATGAGATGGATTAATACCAAATGACAAATATAGATAGATAAATAGATAGAAAATTTAAGTGGCTAAGTGATAAATAGTTGACAAATGCAAGATATTTCAATATTTCGTACGTAGATAAATACACAGTAAATAAACCTCAAATAACAGATGGAAATATAGTTAGTAATAGCAATAGGAAGATGGATAGGCGTTAAAGAATAAGTTATAAACAAACAGATACAAGCCACTTTCATTAAATGATTAAAGGAATACTATTACGAAGTTGAATGAGTCAGAAAGGCTCTGTATGAAGCTATTACTAACTTTTTTTAATTGTGACACGATAACCTACGAGGTACATACGGTTAGTCCCCTGTATGTCTACGGAGTTGCAACGCTAAAATCCACGGTGGACACAGCAGATAGCCCAATGTGGCTGTGCTATAAAACAAAAACACAGACACACACGGTATCGTTGAAGCGATTTGTAATTAGCCTATACAATTGCCTAAGTCTAGTTATCAATTAATTACTTACGTTATATATATATATATATATATGTTTTAACTATTTAATACTAATAGTTAAGTAATTTTTACCCTACGCTTCGGCCGATAAACTGCTGTCTTCTTGAGTGAAGTCTTGAGAAGGTGTATTTTGTCTTTCGCACAAAGCCGTCCCTAGTTTTGAACTGATAAACTATAGGGAAAGCAGCTAGTCAACATCATCCCTCGCCAACTGTTAGACTACGCTAATTGAATAGTGGGTTTGTTTGAGGTTAAGCACAAAGCTACAAAATGGGCTATCCGTGATCTGCCCACCACGGGTATCGAAAACTGGTTTCTAGCGTTGTATGTCCACAGACGTACTGCACTACCACTAAGGGGACCAAATAGAGGGATTTTATTGTCATTTTTATGTCGCACGGACGACCCAAATGTGCGGAGTGTGAGCCAAGAACTCTTGGATTCACAGTCCATTCACAGGCATGTTAACTTGTAGTTTACACCTGGTCCGTTGAGAAGGACTTTCTCTTTCTCGTGCCGTGGTTCAGAAAAGAAGACCGTACGATAAGTAGGACTTATAATAAAATAATGGTATATGAACCACACGTGAGAAAAGGAAAGAAAAAAGGATTTTGATAAATTCTCCTGACTGATGCACACATTCAGCCAAACTAGCATAGAAGTCAGCAAAAGCTAAATATCCCTCTTGAGAGCATTCAAGTGAGTTATTTGATTCAAGTCATAATGGGGGAGACCTCAAACGAACGGATAGCACATCAGTCTCACTGTCAAAAAGACCCATGATAAAATCTCAGCTACTACCACCACAGAAATAACCCTTTTTAGGTGTCTCTCTGAAACAAGAGGAAGATTTGTAGCAGATACGTAGAATAAAAAATAATAATTATATATTAGTGTATAGTGTGACGGATTTAATATTCTATATTTATTTTAGTATCGATGTTTGTTTAAATTAAATTTATATTTAGAAATGTACATAATGTATA